AATAAACAGACAACTATGTGAAGAGAATAAAAGGCTGGGGCATAAATTATGATGCTTTCTTTCCGGTCTTGCAACATATTCTTTTTGAGGAGGCTAATCTCAGATAATGTCATGTAGATGTTAAAAGTCTAATTTTCTGTTACAAAGAGTTCTTTTCTCCATGTATATTTTCTATTAGCTGGAGGTCTATGAACGATCGACGTCTGATGTTAGAGGCAGTGAGAGGATGCATTTTGGGTAAATTTGATTGTTGGGGTAAATATACTACATGAAAATGAATCTTAAACTAAATTCAAAATTCAGATTTCCCCAGCCCACACTATGTCACTCAAAAGTTTTTTTTAACATTGGTCATACTTCAAATTGCCTGGGAAACGTTTAAAAATACCGTGTACTGAATCCCACCCGGGGCAATTAACTGAGAATCCCTGGAGCTGGAACATTCGTGTTCCTCACAATCTTCTCGGAGATTCTAGTGTGCACCCGGGCAGAAGGACACTCTGGCCTGCTTATCAGCTTGGATCTGAAGAGGATTCCATCGCGAACCTGGGGTGTCAGAGTTTCAGGAGGAAGAGATGGGACGGGGGAGGGAGGAAGCTACATTGTTCATTTGCGATTCACAATGAGAACATGTACATTGAGATCCTAGAAACAAGTGCTGATAGGGCAGTGGTCGGCAAACTGCGGATCGCGAGCCACATGCGGCTCTTTGGCCCCTTGAGTGTGGCCACAAAGTTTCAATCGCACTGTAGGTGTGCACCCGCACATGGTATTTTGTGGAAGAGCCGCACTCAAGGTGCCGCAGTTTGCCGACCACTGGTCTAGGGCGGGGGTCCCAAGGGCCATTTGGATAGTTATAACATCATTTGTGGGACCATACAAAATGGCCAGCTTAAAAATTAGCCTGCTCTATTTGGCCAAATATTTCATTACCTCACCTGTAACACCTTGGCAGGGCCAGACCAAATGATTTCCCAGGCCTCACAGGGCCCGCAGGCTGGACATCCCTCACCCTTAGTCTAGGGCAGCCGTGGGCAAACTACGGCCTGCGGGGCCGGATCCGGCTCATTTGAAATGAATGAAACTATTGAAAAAAAAGACCGTACCCTTTTATGTAATGATGTTTACTTTGAATTTATATTAGTTCACACAAACACTCCATCCATGCTTTTGTTCCGGCCCTCCGGTCCAGTTTAAGAACCCATTGTGGCCCTCGAGTCAAAAAGTTTGCCCACCCCTGGTCCAGGGGGACACAAAGATAAATAACACAAAGCCCTATTTCTCAAGGAACTTAGAGACAAGAGGGAAGAAAAGACGGGGAATATATCTTAAAAGATACAGAATAAAAAATGTAATTGGACACTCATAACTTATATAATGTTATTAACGAATGTTACTCCAATCAATAAAATAAAATTTTTAAAAGGCTAGACAAATATATTTGACCCAATAGGGATTTTTCTAACTGCCCAATAGGCTTTTTCCACGTCTGCATGGTGGGGAAACACTGCCGAGGAGATGAAAACTAATTCTACACGTTTTCCTCCAGTTTCTTCATCTTTAAATAATTTTACTTCTTGTTTGATAATTTTAAGATCTTTTTAATTACTTTTATTCGAGGACTGCAGTTTTAAAATTGGATGAGAGCTGTCGTTTCTCTCTCTCCTTGGTTTAAACATTTCCAGTGTGTCTTTGCCACCGTTAAGTCTAGGCTGTGTGCTTGGAGATGCCTCCCG